TGCTTCCAAATCAGTTTTTAGTTATTTATTTTAATATTTTCTTAAATAAAAATAATTTTTAACAGTTTTCATAAGATTTTTAATTTTTAATTTTATTTTTAATTTTTTATTTACATAAATTATGCAGAATATATCATCCAATTAATTATGTAATATTATTTAGTTCAAAAAATTTTACATTATTCATTAAATATAATTTTTTCTGTTATAATAATTTAAAATTACTATATTTTGTTTATTTTTAATTATTTTTTATTATTTAATAAAAGTCATACCTATTTTGATTATTCCACAAACTAAATTTACTTATTGAATTATAATCCAAATAACTTTTTTACTTTAGGAACTAACTTTTATAAAAATTAATACAAATATAAATCACGCTACCCAATTTAAATTTTACCCAACCTCATTTTTTTTAAAAGTTAAATTGAAAATAAGTTACTTTTTCTACTACTAATCCAAATGGACCCACTATCATAAATGAATAGTTTTTAAATAGTTTAATTGAAAAACTTAAAATGCATAATTTTATAATATATATTAAAACAACACAATTTTGATAGTATTATAAAATTGACTATCGATTGAAACAGTAAACAAGTATCTTTTGCTAAAGTGCCACTGAAACGAGGAAATTATTTAGCAAATTCTTTTGGCGCGTGACTTCCTTTGTTTATTGTGTGTGTTTTACTAATATAAACTATTTTTTGGCCAAATAATGTAAACTTTATTAATTTTAAATATTAGCTCTTATAAGTTGGACAAAATTTGCATTAAGAAATTAATGGTATTTTAAAAAATTTATTTTATATGTACATAGGAATGAGTTCGATACTCATGAGAGTAATGAGCATCTCATCAAGCTCATCATATGTAGACCATTTGTATATAATTTGGATAATCCAAATTTATTTTTTTATATTTTTATTTTTATAAAAAATTATTTTTCAAAAAACTATAGTTGAGATATTATTGTTGTTTTAAATTTTATACTCACTAAAATAATTATTTTAAAAAATAAAAAAATAAATATGAACCATCCAAATCAGATTTGGATGTAAACTTATTAAGTATTTAAAAGATATGACTTTTTTTAAACTTATTCAAAAAAAATAAGTGCAGCTTAAAAGGGAGAAAAATAAGGTGAACTTATAAGGACTTGATAAAAAGAAAAATAAATATAAGGACCTAATTAAAAACAGGTAAAAGTATAAGAATTTAATAAAAAAAAATTATAAGGACCTGATTCAAATTAGTTGAAATTATAAGGAGCTGTGGATTAATTATCCCATAATTCTAAGTTATAAAAATTCATAAATAGGGCTTGATGTGGGGCCTACCATAAGTTATGACTTCATCAACCACTGGGATCCTGACACGTCAACAACATAACGTAATCCTGACATTTTGTTCTCGATCACCCTTGAATCTGTCTGGGTTAAGTTAACCACCGATTCAAATCTCTTGAATTTTCCATTGGGGAAGGATAATAGTGTCTTGGCCAAAAAAAAATCCACAATAATATAATCATAAAAGCAATGGTAATATTAACAGTTATCATATTATATGTACCATTCATAAAAAAATATTATTTAAAAAAATAATATTATATGTGTTAATTATATACAATAAATATGTATTTAGGAAACAAATTTTTAAGGGAGAAAAATATAAGTAACAACTCATATTTTAATTATAAATGGGTATTTTGGTCTTTTTACAATGTTCATAAATCTCTAAAGAATTTGTTCAAGGTGAAAGCCTGATTTTGAATTTTAGTACTCCTCTGGTCTTTAATATAAGACCCATTTAACTAATTTGATTAGATTAAGAAAGTTAGGTAAGTTAGTTAATTATAAGAAATGTGATACATTTTTTCTAAAACACCATAATCATCTTTCTTAATACCTTCTCTCTCTCTTTTACTTGATTATGGTTAAGGGAGTATCTATAAGGGTAATTTAGAGAAAATTGATAAATATGAGAAATAGGTCTTATATTTAGGACTAAAACCAACTCAACAATTGGGTCTTATATTAAGGACCGGATGAGTATTTCAATTGGATTTAAATGGGATTTTCTCTTTTAAATTTGATATTTAGAAATGGACAAAATTTATATCCACTTACTTATATTTGTTATGTATAGTCTTTCATTTAAATCTCACCATATGTAATATTTAGTATTTATAATGACGTAACATAATTTTATCCAAACTCCAACAGCAATGTTCAAGATAGTTCAAATGTTTCGTGAAACATTTTATCCAATTCCTTTTTGAATCTTAGATCTGCAACTGCAAGCAATAGATCCATACCAAGTTTTAGTTTAATATCTTAAAAATTATGTTACGTCATATATTTATTAGGTTATTATGTGAAAACAGACGCCTTAATTCTTTAATTCCATGCAAAGTTTTAGTTTGATATCTTAAAAATAAAATCTCTTGCAAAGTTATTTTTAGAATCAAAAGTCTTTTTTCCCTTAATATTTTCATGCGAGATTGCAAGCTGAGATTATTTATTTGCTTGCATGCTTTATTTTTAGGAGGCACAAATATTATTCTGTTAGGAGCAATTCTGTTTGAGGTACCGGTAGACATTTTTTCCTAGGCACATGTATTCTATTATTAGAAGTAATCATATTTAAGTCACTATTAGACACTAAAGATAAGCACTTTTCCCAAAATGGATTTGAACCTTGATTTACCATGTTGTGAAAAACAAACTCTTTCTATTAGAACTGACTCCCTTTGGTTGAGATTTTTTTTTGACAAGCACAAATATCTTCTTATTATAGGTAATTCTATTTAAGATACTGTTAAGTACTAAATATGGACATCTCTTCCTGTGCAGATTTGCGGGTGGATGTGTGTTGTGTTTTGTTGGGCCGCTTCAAAATTTAAATTTCTGTGAGCGAACTTAGTTGGGCTGCTATAACTTGCGGCACAATGTAGGGGTTTAATTGTTTAGTGCGTTTGGAGTATGTGCTAATCATTTTATTAGTTATGATATAAAATTTAACTTCTTATATTAAAAAATGGTGCGAACATAAAATCAGGACACAAATTAAAATTCGTTAAAAAAATTAATGTTTTTAGTTTTGAAAAAATATGCTTGGCAATGATAAATCACTCTTAATAAATATTATTAGCAAATTAAATCACGAAAAATAGTTTATACTCATGCAAATACTATAATTTGTATAATAATTTATTACAAAATTTAATTGAATATATGAAATTTATATAATATAAATTTCTAGTACGTAACATTCTCTTTTTTGTTGAAAAAGCTAATATTAATCAATGACAAAAAATTCTAAAACAATAAAATACATTCCTTATTTCTATTTAAATATATAAATAAAAAGCCATGATTTGCTAATTAGGGAAAATACCAGAAAAATATCCTGAAAATATCAAAATAAAAAATTAGTAACTCCAATTTCAATAATCTCAAATAATCATCCACATCTGCTAAAATGAAATTTGGAAATGTGTTTTTATAATATTGTCCTTCACTTTTTAAAGCTAAACTATACTATAGTCCGCCAAATTTACATCTAAGTTTAAAAAGTATATTTTTTAATCTCAGCACTGTTAGTATCATTTCACAAAAAGTGTTGATTCAATAAATTCAAACAGTTCATGGTCAAAAAAAAAATTCAAACAGTAACTATATAATTAAATACTGACAAAACATATTTATAATACAAAATTAAAATAAACCAATTGACCCGCCGATTTATTTATAATAAAAATGATAACAAGCATACTATGTCAGTTTCCTATCTCAAAGTTCTTGAGTCAACATTTTTTGTTAAATGAGAGAGAGGATTTTAAAATTAAAAAAAAATAAAAAATGCACATTTTAATTTTAAAGAACCAGATTGAAACTAGATGGAAACGTGACTAATTAAATATGTACTTTAGTTTTTTATTAAAAAAAATGAATAAACATGCCACCTCGACACTCTCGTTGGTGGCTGGAATTTTTTAATGACAAAGTTGGCCAACAGAGCGGTAAATGAGTAAAGAAGTGTTGTCAATATCTCAAAACAATGGCCTTTTATATTAAATTATCTTTAAAATTGTTCCTTTTTTTTTTTGTAATTTTTTTCAAGAGTAAAGTAACATCCAGTATCCTAATATAATTTTTTAGTAGTATCCAACACTCTAATTTTATTTATAGTCTGTGATGTTTAATGCATTATAAATAAACTGAGGGTGTTGGAACTTGTATGTAGTTGGAAAATTATATCAAAGTGTTGGATGCTAATTTTCTGTTTTTTTTAAAAGATATTACTTTTTCATTTTGCAAAACACTCAACTAAAATTAAATTATTCTTTTTTTAAAAAAAAAAACTAAAAATTGTTCTAGGAAGAAGGAATGAGACAACGCCTAAGATGTTTCTATTTTCTTATTTTATTCCGATCATCCAATGGAAGTTTTGATGCAATAGAGAGGGCCCTCTGGTTGAACGATGACATTGTTGAGAGTTTCCAATAGCTAGAAAACGAATCTACGAATTTGTTAATGAAATTTAGACCATTCACACTCAACATATTCGGAGAATTGTTATAAAATTTAAGAAAAAAATGTAGTTACAAAACATGATCTCAATCGTAACAGAACAATACACATTGACAAGCCTAGTACGGAATCACAATTTAATTTGTCATTAAAACTTTTTGATAATCTTTTTTTTTTTTGGGAGACCTCAACTTAATTTATCCTTTGATTATTTCATTAAATTAGTATGAAAATATTAAATTACTAAATAAAAACGAATAAATTTGGTTTAAGATGGAGATAACGACGTGGAAGGAATGAATTACGTATATTACAGATTTTTTTTCTTTTAACTTATTAATCTGTACGAATAAATCTGATATTAACCCCCCCCAACCCCCGAAAAACATGTGCAATCGCAAAAGAAAGAACCAGATTTGAGAGCATGGCATGTAGGAGCAAGCGTGGTTAACTAACGGTTAGGCAACGATGGCCCCATTATGATTTTGCATATCATATTTGTTTAATTCGTGTCCTAAACACAACCAATCTCTCATAGCTTTACCTTTCCCAACAAAACAACCATTGTTCTTCCTATCATCAATTCTCAGAGGACTTTTCATCTTCACCATCATCTCTTTCACCAACGTTTTCACAGGAGATTGTCCCCTGAGATTGCTATGCTTCCCTGAGCCACACACCACAACAATTTCTGTAGGAATCACGTAAGTTGAATTGTTCAGCCTTCGTCGCATTTCTTGCAACCAAAGTAACATAATTAGATAATATGAACCCAAATGCAGTCCATGTAAATCCAGCTTTGCCTGCTTAGAGTCCCAAACCATGACCTCTTCTAGAATCTCGGTTGACCTGATTAGCTCTCCAACCACCATAGCTTCATCTCCTTCCAAACTGGCATTCAACTCCTCAATTGACAATGGGAAGCCATTCAAGTCCACCAACTTTCTCATGAGAACAGGACATGAATTCAGAACATAATTATATGTCCTTTTCGAGAACGGAATTGATGTCTTCCTCATCCTTTGAAGCCATGAAACCATGTTTGTTGGCTCACCATGCATTCCGTACGCTGAAAGAACCATATTTGAACAAACTGTATCAATAACAAACCCTTCTTTTTCCATTTGAACCAAAAGTCTCTCCGAGTCTTGGAATAATCCCAATCTTCCATAACCATACATGATAGACTTGAATTCAAATGCTGAAGGTTCAAGTGCTTTGATTCTCATATTCTCAACCAAATTCTCTGCCTCACAAGGCCTATCCATTTAACATAAACCACTGACCATATATTCATAAACACGACGTTTTATGTAAATAGAGGATGATGAACTATGAAGAAGCTGGCTTAGGTACGAATAAGCAATCTCAAACCCTCTTTCTGAACTTTGTTTGGAGTGACACTCCAACAATTTACAATAGAAAAGAGCCAGATCTCGAGAGCCAGACTCTGATTTGGAAGTGCCTTCCGAAATTAGAGTTTCCCAGGCTGAATATTGTTCCTGTTTATCCAGCAAAGCAGCAAGCTCAGCTACAATCTTAAGGTTCCAACTGTACCAAGGTGCTTCAGCAATTCTTGCATAAAGCTGCAAATTTTGCAAAAACATCAGAGACTCTAATAATCAACTTGAGGAGAGAGATAAAGAGTAAAGTACTAACCGGGAGGGCAACTGAGGAGAGATGGAGTTGAACTGTAGAAGGAGAGAGGAGATCGCAAAGAGTGCTGAGAGACACTGATTCAGGTGAACTTTGTACGAATCTCTGGATCAAGTTGTTTGTGGTCGACGGGTCTCCAGATGTCACCACCTTCTTCAGAAAATGCTGACCTTGTTTTGTTAGCGCATATTCTACCATAACTCCAAGCTTTGGTCCTTGGTTCCACCATAGTTGGACACTGCTCAACATCATCTTCAACGTTAGATATTATAAAATCATGTCCTTCTTCCACAGACCTTCACGGAGAGTCAAAATATAAAATTCCCATAGTTTAGCATGTTATCCACCAAGGACAATTTTAAATTAAAAAAAGAAAAAAAAAGGGGGGGAAAGAACATTTTATGTATGAAATCTTATCAACGATTCAAAGAAACCTTATCAGCTATTTCAGGAATTGGCATTGCTCCAATTAGATAGCAAGTATCAATCAACATTTCTACGTTCATGGCCATATGACAACGGCATATATTGTCGAGGAGCCAGTGAATTGGAGAATAACGGAAAGCATACATTGTCTCTATAAAGCGCATAAAAAGACACTAACGAACTCTCAGTAACTCAAATAGTTCCAATCCTCTTGCATGTAGTTTGCCTCAATCGCTGCTTACACGCAATCAAGCACAGATGTATGTGTATTTATATATGCATATAGCTATGATCAAGCTTTACTGTCTTGTTAAATTAACTCCCCCAAGCCCGATTCCAGAAATTAGGCCGAGAGATAACATGAAGAAAATGACGATATGACTCAATTTAAAACTCAAACAGCACATCACAACCAATTATTAGTGTGTTTAGATTAGCATTTGCAAAATAGAATATGGGTAGATTTGAACTTTTGTTTGGATTGTTCTACATTACGAGTGATTTTGACTGATTAAGCATGCTAGGATGATACATGTTTGTCAAAAACATTTTAGCCGTACAATTACTAAAAGGAACATGAGCCTTACAATATAGCGTAATATTAACAATAGTACGACTGAGTTAACCTGCACATACTCAACAACAAATTTTCTCTCAGTTATTAATAAATTTAACTTTTAATTATTTTGATTTCTTTTAAGGTTAATGATTAATGCCTAGCTTTAATTTAATAAAAAATATTTCAAAAAATTTAATTTGCTTTTCTTGACAATTCACCTGAATCTGTTAACCATATATATAAACCTACAAGTCCAAAGCCCATTCCTTCACTAAACCCCCCCCCCAAAAAAAAAAAAAAACGCACCACCATCGCATCTCACACGCTTTTTCCCTCAAAATCATTCCGAAAAAAGATAAACTTGACACGCAATATATGGAAGAAATCAGGAGCAGAGAACAACAATGTTGCAACGAAGAGAAGTTTTTTCTTGTTGTGCTGTGATATCGATGTTGCGCCGAAGTAAAAGAAGGAAAGCAGAAGCAGAAGAGAATAATAAACAAAAGCAGAAACCAAGAAAGAACAGGGAAAAAACAGGGGCAATGACCAAATCCAACCCACTGAACACACAAGAACCAAATCGCCCTACAAGCTACGAAGCCATTGTTGATAAGCACAACCAAAGGGCTCACTCTACAAATTGACATTTAATCCGACAAATTTTTTGCCTCAATTTTAACCGGAGTTAACTATAACAACGAATTGAGAGATAGGATTCATTGGATTCAGGGGGAAAGGAGAAGATCTGAAGCTATTACCGGTTCAGCTTTCTCCGGAGCCGAATGTTGACTACCCCGTTCTGCCTCTATTTCGCTTTCTTCTCCCAAGCTCGCTTTCTCTTCACTCGGCTCCATCCCTGTCCCCTGCATCTTTCGCTCTGTCTTATCTGTTCTTCTTATGTAAGTTAAAAACAGGAAGATTGTTTGTGAACCGACGGATAAACCTGTGAGCCTGAGGACGGTTGTTCGGGATGCCCAAAATTACTTTAAAAACATATTTATTTTTATAATAATAGTATTAATCCAATTTTTGTATTATTTTTAATCAAAACAAAATATTTTTTACACTTATTTTATATAATTATAAAATTACTTTCAAAATCACATGCACCCTTGCTTTCTATACAGTAAGAAATAATAATAATATTAATCCAATTTTTTTTATCATTTTTAATGGTTAAGTTATCGTAAAACATCCTAATATTATTTCCCAGTAATATTTAGCATTTTAATCTTATTTATAATGTATCCAGTCCAATTATACTCTACATTCTAATTTTATTTATGATGCATTATAAATAAAATTAAAGTACTAGAAGTAGAAGAAAAATAATACTATTCTGATCTTAAATATAAAAATTGGGGGAGGATTAGAATAACGGACACATCATAAATAAAATTAGCGCACTACATATAACTAAAAAAGAACATGACGCTGGAACTTTACACTTCTTTAATATTAATATACACATGAAATAAGGCTAGATAAAAATTGGAAAAATGACACAAAAGTGACATTTGAACTTGAAAATACTAAAATGGTCATTTAAACTTGCAAAATCCCAATTTAGTCATAAAGGACCAATTTGACATTAATAAATTTCTTGCAATGGCCATATTGCCCTTTATTTTATTTATTGTTTTTAAAAAAAAATCAAAGTCCCCATTGGCTGGTCCAGCGTTGGCAGCAGAGGCCGTCACCAGAGCTTTGGTGACCGGTCAACAATTGGTCACCAAAACTCCAGCAACCGGAAACAATTTTTACTAAAGTTGTAAAAATGCTATTTTTTGAATTTTTCGAAAAACCTGTTGTTAACTACTATACTGAAGTTGTTAATAGCGTTACAAAAGTTGTTAACTGTTATACTGAAGTTGTAAAAATTTTCAAAAAAGAAAGCTGCTAAAGTTGTGAAAATATTTTTTTTTTAATTTTTAGGAAAACTTGTTATTAAATGCTATCTCAAAGCTGCTAATAGAGTTATAGAACTTGTTAACGACATTACTGATGTTATAAAAATGCTACTTTTCAAATTTTTTAAAAATTATTAACTGTTATACTGAAGTTGTTAATAGGGTTACAAAAGTTATTAATTGTTACATTGAAGTTTTAAAATTTTTTTAAAAATAGTAGTTGCTAAAGTTGTAAAAATAATATTTTTTTTGAATTTTTAAGAAAACTTGTTAAATGCTATACTAAAGTTGTTAATAGAGTTACGAAACTTATTAATGGCATTATTGAAGTTGTAAAAATGCTACTTTTTGAATTTCTCGAAAAACCTGTTGTTAACTACTATACTAAAGTTGTTAATAGCATTACAAAAGTTGTTAACCATTATACTGAAATTGTAAATTTTTTAAAAAACTCATTTTCGGCCACCGGAGCTCTAGTTACCAATTGTTAAATTTTCTGAAAAACTAGTTGTTAACTGTTATACTGAAATTGTTAAGAGTGTTGCAAAAGTTATTAACCGTTATACTGAAGTTATAAAAATTTTTAAAAAAATTGTTTCCGGCCACCGGAACTTCGGCCACTAATTGTCTATTGCTCACCGTAGCTCCGGTGACGGCCTCTGGTAACTGGTCGGCCAGTGGGGGCTTTGGTTTTTTAAAAAACAATAAATAAAATGAAGGGTAATATGGTCATTTTAGCAAATTTATAAATGTCAAATTAGTCACTTGTGACTAAATTGGGAATTTATAAATTCAAGTAACTATTTTGGTATTTCCAAGCTCAAGTGTCATTTTGTATCATTTTCCCATAAAAATTTGTGACAAACGATCACCAAAGAGCAGCAATTTTCAAATAAAAATGTTGGTTAATATTATCTTTAATTTTTAAAATTTGACCTCATGTTGATTTTAGTTTGAAATTTGAAACAAATGATTTTAAAAGTTTCAAGTACCAAAGATACTATTATCAAGTCAAAAATGTTTAAGCAGATCAAAATAAATCAAATTTTAGAATCAAAACCAAAACAAGGTCAAAGTTAAAAGTTAAAAATAGAATTAATCTTAAAATATTTAATGTTTCAAATATCTTTAAATATATATATATATATATATCAATCATATCTCAGACTATCGAAAAGTAATTCATTGGTAATATACAATTATACATACAGAGACACAAGTTCTATGACAATCTAGAGAAGGAAAACTACAAATACAGACTAAGGTCTTATTTAGTGCGAAGTATTAAAAATAAGGAGTAGGAATTGAGATTGAAATTAAAAAAAATTATTAAAAAAATATTTAGCAGGAGAGATTTCTTATTACATGGGATTAAACAAACTCATATATGTGGAATTGCAGAATACCATAGTGGGAGATGGTGTTCTCTAATCCCACCTCAACGGATTTATCTAATTTCATGTAACAAGTAATTACTCATACTAAATATTTTTAAATAATTTTTATTAATTACAATTTTTATTTTTATTTTTTATATTTCATACCAAACAGAAGTTTATGACAGTGTGGCTAAAATGAAGAAGACTAAGTGAGGTCCTTTGCCATTTGATCCAAGCAGAATGTGGGCGGGTCCAGCAAGACTGCTCTTTCATTGTTCATCTCATGAGCCCTCCTGGCAAGTAAATCCTCACGTGCCAATGCCTCCTTGTGAGCATGTACTATCTCTATGTTCCAGTGTGAGAGATTAACGATCGTACTTCAAAAATCTCTGCTGCCCAAGGGTGGTATTGTCCATTCACCCTATAACACAAGGGGGGAAAAAGAAAAGAAAAGAAAGAACTATATTTTAAATCAGACGGTAATTTTTATCGACGAAATGTGTGCAAAGAGAGAGGAGAAAGAACTAATGATTTTAAATGTTTGTAAATATTTCTTTCAAATGAGGGAAGCAAGCTTTTCTCGCTTGAGCCAGTGAAATAA